TTCACATTTGTGCCGATCGCGACGTTTCGTAAGGGCGGGCGGGGTTGAAATTCGCTCAACATGTTGGACGAGGCGCTGTTGCCGCGTGCTCGACCCAAGTTACCTATCGGATAAAACTCTGTGGTTGGGTTGTTTACTCTTTAATATACGCGACATTAGTTTAGCGCCACGATAAAGTCTGTTTTAGTTAAATTGATATATTTTCCGACATGGCGGACGGTTTTAGTTGTCAAAAATAAACAAATGTTATAAAATGCGTCATAGTAACGGCATTCGATACCGTTTGTAGACGACTGAATAGTAACAATAGTAAACGACTGCTATGGGTTTTCCATAATAGGCAGTCATCGTAAATATATTTGTGCAAGTTATAACACCAAAATATCTAACATCTGCTCTTCTCTCAAACAATGTTCACAGATATTAAGTGTTACACTAGAACACGCAGTTCACCACAACCTCCCAAATAAAGCAACTCCACACTACACTCCAGACATTACTGACCACATATCAAGCGTTCTTAAGAAATAAATTGTTAAAACCATATTCTACAAAAGTCTCTAACCATGAAACATCATTCGACGCATGTATATGACATCACGAAAGATGTCAACTGGGCTAAAAGAGCATGAAAAAGCCATACGAGAAATAAACTATTTAACAGTTGCCGAACATAATCTTAGACCTAGATAAAACTCTTGCATTGTGATCAACGGTTACGACTTTTTTTTTAAATGCCAAATAAAAAACATTTACAAGGTTAAGAAAGCTACTGAACGGAAAATTACTAAAGTTCACAATTTTGGTCATCGGATTTAACATTTGAAGCACACGTGTTTCAGACAGTTGTATCACTACCCGTTATCAAGTGTAAACTAAAAACTAGTTTGAGACAGGTCGTAGGAAAAAATAAAGTAATGAACATTGAAACACGTATGACATTCATTGAAACAATTATGGGAAGATATGAAAAGAGTGAACATTAGAGAAAAATGGCAAAAGCAGGCAACGAGTTAACGAAACCAATATTCATAACAAGCCATCACTTTAGCACATAAGCTTTAAAAGGATGGCATAAGAAGTGTGATAAAGATAAAACCGAATATTTATGTATTGAACAAGTTGGACAAGTAGATTAGAGATGATACATTTTAAAGGAATATAGAGACAAAAACAGCACGAGGAAAACAAGCAAACAAGAGCACTTCATGGGCTGATATGGAACAATACTCTTACTAAAGGCAAAAAAAAATTCTTCCAAAGCATAATACAAAATATCACCTTATATTTTGCAGAAATAATAAGAACGGTCGAATTAAACTTTATAAGAAGATGTCTACAAGTCACAAGAACTGACCAAATAAGAACTGCAGAAATTTGGAAACAAATGGAATGCTCGATAACAAGGAAATTAGATAAGAATGCCAGAACACAGGTGGCCAAAACTAGTACTGCAATGGGAACATCCAGAGAGAAGACAAAGAGAATGGTCGGCACTAAGATGGGAGACATTCATTCGACATGCGTTGTTTGATAGAGATCTGGGAGTAGGGAGCTGTGGAGGGTAAAAACTGCGAACTCGTAAAGGAAAATGCCGAAGAAGAAGAAATCTAGCTTTTGTGTTACGTATCGCTAAAGGCTTTAGCAACCACACATCATTCTTCCCTATTTTTATAAACCTGAACTCTTCAAAACTCCTGCACATTATTGCAATATTTATTTAACTTTTGAAACTCTTTGGCATATATCTCCAACTATTATCGAGACTGCTGATCGCTTTATTGGGATTCCTGAACGATGTAGTTGCTGGCGGGTGACGTCTTCCTTGGTGATCTTGTTACCTTTAATTAATGGTATTCATAACTTGTTTACCTCAACTGATAGTTTGTTCTTTATTTCCTCGGATAAAAAAGCGTACTTGCATTTACTGCAGTACCAATGTCGCTCTCTATCAACTCATGCTGGTAAGATAAGATGGTAAAGATGCATTTTCTATCTTCTTGCTAAGATGTTTCTTTTTCTTCTTTATCGGTGTTGGATGAGATGTTGCCAGTCCCCGTTGTTGATCAGATCTTTGTTGATGTATTTAAGTGCTTCCTGATAATTTTGTGTTGCGTAGTCGTAGGCCGCCTCCCAGACGTGACCCAATTACCCTCGTTTGGTAATTTTGAAATGGTTTGAAGCCGCGCTATGGCGGTTTTCTATATCGCGATATCGTAATTTGCCCATTTAATGCTATGATTTTAAAAACAAAGGCCATGGAAGAACTCTCACGCCAGCCGACGAATACAATGAAGCAAATGTCCAAAATTAAAATTTAAGACGATTAAACAAGGAATACTCGCCGTAGCGGTACGTCTGGCAACGCCGGCGCCTTGACAACAGCGCCATCGCTCGGTTTCATGCACAATTCATTCCTGAAAAAGGATCGATCGTCTCAGGTCGAAATTTATATTGCGTGCTTCGTCCGTGTCGGGAATATTTATCCCCGTTGGGGTGCTTGATCGCACAAAATGCAATTTCGTTCAGGATATATATAGGTCGAGCAGAATTTAAAATGTTTCGTAAACCGTGAAGTAGTGTTTGTAGCTACTCCATTATGCGAATTTTGCGTTGGTTATGTACAGCGATCAATTACTTATTTTTGGTTCTTATCATTTTCAACTAAAACGGCAATTATTATCACGGAGTGATAATAAACGCTCGACCCGGCGCATTCGCCTCAATATGAAATCTTATTAATTCGATATCTTAGTTCCACACGGAGAAAAAACTTAAGTGTTTGGTAAAGGTAAAGAGTAATGAAACTTCGGTAGTTATTCAAAGGGACCACAGAGTGAGGCAACACTGAAAATTAAGTCACTGACATTGTTTGCCATTGTTTTTTTTTATTATTTCATCATGTTTGTGTATATTTGCTCTATGTAATACAGGTTAAAGCAATTTTTAAATCCAACACCAAGATATTTTTTCTGCATTACTTTATTTTTATAACTGGTGTCTTAACAAACTCTCAAAATCGAAAATTAAAACACTCCTTTAAGCGTTTTGTATTTATGATGTCTTGCCCTACTCACAAATCTCTGTTATAAAATACTTTCAATATTTTAACCATCAAGAATCCAAGGAAATTGAACATACATGGGTTTGTTTACAGTCTTTCAAAATTAGATAAACTGGCTTCTACATTCCCAAAGAACAAGGAATAACTTAACTTACATAGTACCCGGTTATGTCAGCATTTCAGCGACTAGTCTGTGCAGTCAGATAAAAAATAAGAATATCTATCTACTAGCTAGCCAAACATGCCGATGGCTTCTTCATGATTATGGGCAGATTTGAAACAACAGCAGATGTTAAAAAAAATTCTTATTCGATCTCGAGAGATGTGTGACTTAGCATTTCTGTTCGACCTTACAGGCTATTTGAATACAGATACTCCACCAAAAAGTAATGTACAGAGTGTTCCAGTACCTTTGCAAATAGAGTTGATCTAGATTTAAGAAAACTCACTTCTAAAATCTAAATTCGGAGACGTGGAGCTGTGCGATCTCCACAAAAAATATCTAAAAGAAGACCATCTTCCGCAGGTTAGGAAATTCGCAAGAACATTGATTTGTGCGTTTGGCAGTACTTCTAAATGCGAACATTCCTTTTGAAAGATAATAATTATTATTATGTTTATTTCCATTGACTTTTAACAAAAGCATCGGATAATGTCAACAAGTAAAAAAAAGAACATTAGAACACTAAAGTATATCACACTGAGAGATCGGCATCACTATAATCAAAGTATTCTTCGATACAATAAAAAACGTTCTTATTCAAAATGAGATTTAAATTTTGCTTAAATAGATGGACAGGCAATATCTATCTGACGGACAAAGGCAATTTATTATATAGTTTTATTGGTAAAATCATAGGGCTGTTAACTACTTTGGTTAAACTGCAAATTAATATTAGCTCTAAAATTGTAATCTCCATCAATTCTGGTCATGCAATAATTAGATAGATTACTCTTTATGTAAATTTTGCTATTTAATATAATGAGAGAGGGAAACTTCAAAATATTGAATTTTGGGAACAGGTTTCTACAAGGGTGACCACGAGACTTCCCCAACGAACAATACGTTTTTGGCAATTTGGCCTGTCCAGGACAAATTGCTATCTATGGACAAACCAAAATACTTGACAAGTTTAGTCTGATTTGTCGATTTACCCTGCATTCTAACCAATAAGCTCTTGTCCATCATCTCAGTCTTTGTCCCCTTCAAACAAATACCGTTACTCTCACAATATCGGGTCATACCACTTACGGTCTTAGTGGCCAAGAAGGTGAGATCCAGATTCCTAGGTGACACTGCCACAGCAGTATCATCTGCATATAAGGAAACATAATTGTCTGAGAAAGAATCAGATATATCATTAATAAATAGTATAAATAATAAAGGTCCCACAGTATGCTTCCCTGTGTATCACAGAAGTACCACTTCTAAGCACTAAACTGTTTGGCCACGACGCTTCAAAAACGACTCAATCCAGGCGTAACTATTCCCCCGTATTATTATTTAACAATTATTTAACTTATTCAACAACAAATTAATATCAAGCACATCAAAAGCTCGCCTGAAGTCATAAAACATACATAATTTTTTATTAATCTGATTCAGGTTCGAGATTATTTGATTATATAAGGAAACTAAACGGTCTTGAGTAGATAATCCATTGCGAAATAAATTCCTTCACATCGTTCTATCAGTCGAATTAATCCATGTGTCTCTCTGATTATTTTAATAAATTGTATTATAATAACAATGTCGTATACGTCTGACATTTACCTATGAATACCACTTTAAAACACGTATTTTCCTTTTAAGGTTTGGCCTACAACAGGTCAGAGGTTGCCCACACCTGCCCTATAAGAATAAAACTGCAACGTACCATTATTGACAACGAATTTTATTTCTTTGTTAATTTAACTACGTACTTACTAACGACCAACACAAATAATCCAACTTCATCACCGTTTGTAGTCGTTGCCCTCGACGCCCTTATTTTTGTACCCGTGATTGATATAAACGACATGCTCGTCCGGCTTGGGATCGAAAATGTAGCTGCGTATCAACATCACCAAAGACGACGTGAACGCCATCTGGTTTATCATGGTGACGGCGGTGGTGGCGAGCTGTAGTCCGGGCATCACCCAAGGCATGATGCCGGCCATCACCAGGGCTGGCACCGCGACGTAGGGCACCAACTTTTGCATCGAGGTCTTCATGCCTCTCGCGACGCCAGTGGCGTTCCTCACCCCTAACCTCAACTCCAGAAAGTCTTCCGTTTTGCTCGCCGTTATTCGAAGATTTTCGTTGACGTCGAAGGTGATCGAATTCCGCACGTTCTCCTTCTGGTTTTGTTCGATGCCGACGGCACCGGCGTCCACCGATAACCACGTGGTCGCGAGTAAACAACAGACCGTCAGCGGTCGGTACATAACTCTGACGTTCTACCTCGAATATTCGACCCGAGAGGATCGAGGCGGTTCTAACCCAGTTCTTTGCGGCTTCCGATGGCGGGCATCGGAAAATTTTATGATTGGTGGTTTTGAGATGCCGGTTCGCGGTCAAGGTGGTATCAGCGAGCGGTTTGTTTTCATTCTACGATGGCGGGCAGTATAGTGCTTTCACAATTAAACGATTTTCGCGTGATGATAATAGGTAGGGTCGGTACGCAATAAAATGCCAGACAGAATAAAATATATTGTTCATCTTGCTTCCACATATACTCCAACGATCAATGCAAGAGGGACGTCACTAACCGTCACGATTACATTACCTGGGAGTAAGGGAGACGAAATCAATTGTACCTGTACGCCGTGTGCCAAATAAAACGATCCACGATCTGGAAACCCATGGGAGATACGAAAAAAAGTTTCGCGGAAAAGTTTCTTGGACTCTCCTGATGTGTCCCCCCAAACATAAACTTTATTATTTTAAGTGGAACACCCTGTATACAGTGTGTCCAAGATAAGGATGCACAGCATGGGGATTAGACAAAAGTTGCGCATTTTGATACCGAACAAGATCCCGTTTTACAAATTTGAAAATTCCAAGCCGTTCCGGAAATATCCGAGAAAAACCGAAATATTGCGATTTCGTTTTTATTATTTTTTAAAGCTATTTGAAAAGATATGAAAAAACGGAAAACACTTTTCCATTGGCACTTTTTAATCTCTCCAAATTGACGTTAACAAATTTTCATTACAGGGTTTCGATTCCATGGAACCACCATCAACTTTGATTTTTCTTATGGGACGGAAAAAAAGTACACACAGTATTAGGTTGTGCTTTTCATTGCGAATTCAATGATGTACGATACAATATGGTTACTTATGTTTTTATCCAGAAAAATGGCTTTTTAATACATTTCAGCATTTAAATGGAGTAGGCCATGACAAAATGACATCCAGTCAATTTCAATGACACATTAATGTTATTTGTCTTTGTTATCAGTCGATCATAAGTTTATTCCTTTAGTTATTGTTTTTGTATTTTTATTGTTGTTGTCTTTTTCTAATTTATTTTGTTCTACAATGGAGGGAGGTAATTTTACAAACGAAGAAAAATGTGATATGCTGTCTTGCTACATCTGATGCCAAAGAAATTGTGTGGAAGCCGAGCGTATGTATTCTAACAAATACCCAGAGCGGAGACAACCTGACAAGAGTATTTTTCGGCGTTTGTTATTTAATCTGAAAGAATATGGATCCTGCATTATCCCGACAAAAACCTTCCAATGAAGAAAACCAATACATTGTTCTACAATCTGTTATCGAAAATCCACAAACTTCTACCAGAGAAATTGAAGACCAGAATGGGGTAGCTAAATCTACAGCTCAGTTTATTTTAAGGAAAAATGAATTTAAGCCTTACAAATTCAGAATATGTCAAGGATTAAAACCGGGTGACGACGAACGACGTAGACATTTTTGTGAGTGGTATACCAGGATGTGTGATGAGAGTTTTAATTTTCCATATAAAGTGATTTGGTCTGATGAAAGTATGGTGACCAATAACGGTATTTATAACAGGCGCAATACACACTATTGGTCGCAACAAAATCCACGTGTTAATAGACTATCCAGACATCAAGTTCGCTTTGGGTTTAATATTTGGTGTGGGATTTTTGGTAGCAAGATTATAGGCCCTATTTTCTATAATAATTCCTTAACTTCCGAGCGGTACCTTGACATCTTGAGGCACGATTTAGAAGATGCCTTAGATGATTTACCGCTAGGCGCTGTGCAAGGCTGCTGGTTCCAACAGAGAAGTTCGCCAATATTTAACTGAACGGTTTGATGGAAAATACATTGGGACTTACAGTGAAACACCTTGGCCTCCAAGGTCCCCGGACTTAACTCCCTTGGACTTTTTCTTATGGGGCTACATAAAAAATGAGGTATTCAAAGAATGTTTTGACAACGAGGAACAATTACGTCAATCAGTACGAGCAGCGTTTAATAAAATTACTCCTGAAATGTTAAGTCGTGTTTTGGAGTCTACCGTGAGACGGGCGTACTTATGCCTAGAAAATGGAGGTCATTTATTCGAACATTTGTTATAGAATTTGTTTTTCATTAACTTGTTGGATTTAGTTGTTATGTTAAATGAACAGTTAGAGTTAGTAAATAAATAAGCACATTAACTCGAACTTGTCAACCATTTTCTTTTGCCTTTCATCGTTCGGATCTCATGGCCTACTACAATAAAATACTAGAAATGTATTAAAAAGCCATTTTTCTGGATAAAAACATAAGTAACCGTATTGTATCGTACATCGTTGAATTCGCAATGAAAAGCACAACCTAATACTGTGTGTACTTTTTTTCCGTCCCATAAGAAAAATCAAAGTTGATGGTGGTTCCATGGAATCGAAACGCTGTAATGAAAATTTGTTAACGTCAATTTGGAGAGATTAAAAAGTGCCAATGGAAAAGTGTTTTCCGTTTTTTCATATCTTTTCAAATAGCTTTAAAAAATAATAAAAACGAAATCGCAATATTTCGGTTTTTCTCGGATATTTCCGGAACGGCTTGGAATTTTCAAATTTGTAAAACGGGATCTTGTTCGGTATCAAAATGCGCAACTTTTGTCTAATTTAACCGACACTGTATCTCTTATAGTTTCCGAGATCCCCATGCTGTGCATCCTTATCTTGGACACACTGTATATCAACATTTTTTTTGATTCCTTATTTAAAATAAAGGTCACCTTTTTAAGAAATTCCTATTCGAATTTTTACATACTTTAGGCAGAAATTGTTTTTTTTTTCATATTTTGATTGCACCATATAAAATTGTGTTGTGACGGTACTGATACAGGTATTGCAATGAAAATTTAAAGACAGACTAAGGAGACAATGCACTACTCAATCAGTTTGGCAGATGCCCCTCAGCTTATACAGGGTGTCTCAAATAGGTCGTGCCGTTTTGGCGAATTCATTTAATAAAATCTCGAGATTTTCAAATGAAATGATTGCACTGCCACTCCGTAATTCCCCTTTTAAAACAACTTAATGAATCAAAATCGAATTTAAACCTCTCGGTTCGACAACTACGTCTTAACTAAACTTATCGTAAACCCAAAAAACCATCGCATAATAGAACCCTAATTATAGCTCCTCACCCCCACTTGCCCTCTCTGACTTTTATTGCCTGTAACCTTGAGTAACATCTGCTAGCTACGTCATTGTTGGGGAAGATGATACTGACTGCAATCTATAATATATTCATGACAAAGTCTGACTGCATATCCAAAATGTGAAACTCATATTTTATTTTTACGTGCAATTACTGGTTGGCATACTACATCAGCATTTTTTAAAAGAGGTAAAACAGCAGGAACGAGAAGTATTTACAAAGATTTACGATATCGTTAAAAATGGAAAAAATTGATTGCATAGAAGTTTGTAAAATTTGCATGGAAGAATACAACAGTACAGTTGTCTTGTCATCCAAATCAACGGATAATTATTTGGAGCCAATTCAAACTCTACTCCCGCCTGCTCCAAAAAATCTGCTGAATACTAACCGCAAGAGGGGTTGTAGTAACAATTGTGGCTGTCAAAAAGTGGGATTATTTTGTTCGCCAGTATGCAAGAGACAACTGATGCATCCCTTTCCTTAGAACAGTGAACAGAGATACTGCAAGAAGAAGAAAATGAAGATGAAGAATCTATTGTAACAACATTTTGAAGAAAACAACCTACTCCACTTTGAAAATTATCAACACTACCATATTTTCAATCAATAGGATACGACCTGATCGAATCGAATAGGACCGTGGACCTACTGGGGAAACCACATTAAAAAAATACGCCAAGTATCTTATAGGTGGTGCGGAAATGTGTGCATATTATGTAAAATATGAACCTTCTAATAGTGAAAACCGTGATATCGCACGAATGGTGAGTCGTGAGAAAAAAAATGCCTGAATATTTTTTGTAGAGAATTTTATGATCTATAACTTTTGTCTGACCTATTTTCACGTATGAAAATTTAGAACTCGTCTTGCAGAAAATAAACTACCAAGAATATCAGTGGATGCATGCTCCTAGGACAATAGAAAATTATACAATATTTCCATCCTTCAGTTGCAAATGTAATAGTCGGATATACACTGGACTCACATAGATGGCCATCTAAAACAAGCCTTACACCTGGTAGCAAAAAAGTTTTACTGCCTCCTCTTCATATCAAACTTGGCTTGATGAAGCAGTTTGTTAAACCCCTAGACAAAGATAGACAGTGTAATATAGTTTTTTCTTTCCCTTAAGTGATACAAATTTATGTATAGAATTTTTGAAATCATCCTACCAAAATTACATAAAATCAGTTTTCAAAATTAAAATATCTGCCAAAAAGTTTAATTTTGTAGGCCTGCGTTATCCACGATGCACACCCATACCGCAGCAAATTATAGCAGTTTCTCCTACCATATAACAACACTTTTAATTCAAATTGGATAAATATGTCTCCTCCAGTGACCCAAACCAACTTAGACAAAAGGCAACGACCTTATTTCAATTGCCAAATTCGGCTCGACATAACACGACGGTCGGAGCCTATTTCGCATTGTTCGGCGCAAAAAATGAGGTTAGGATGACCACGCGTCTTCCTCGTCTATTGTTCATCGAACGGTAACCGGACCAAAATCAAAAGTTCCTACATAGTCACCCCGTTTTAAGATTCAATGAACCGCGTCGTATCGTCCACGTACGTGACAAGATTTTTCAATTCGTTTCTCGGTTCGTACAAAACTAACATTGCAGCCATCAAAAGCGTCATAGAATTTATATCAGTTCGGAGGACAAAGTGCGGCCGAAAAAATGTGTGCCGAGTTTAAGCTGTTGGTGTCCGCGGTGGTGGTTTTCTTGGTGGTCAGTTGGTGCGACGCAGACGATGTCCAAAGAAGCGTCGTGGATCCTAAAGAGCAGTTTGTCGGGAGAATGGTGGAGCAAGGTAGGAAAATCATCCTTTAAGCGAAACCGTTGAAAAGAAAAGTGTTTTATACCTGGAAATTTGGATGAAATAAAACTTTGTTTACATTTCATCATGATATATCTTTAACTTTGATTGCGTCTAAGTTGTGAAGTATGGTTGCACATGGTTGACAAATAGGATTGTTGATATAGTCTGTCTCAATCATTATCGTGTTGGCGTACGACGCACCATCCCCAATAAAACTTTAAGCATTAACCATTAACAAAAAAATTACTTTATTCTTACTTGGGTGACAAGTAAGAATAAATATTTGGGGTATATTTCTTTCTTTCTGGTATATTTCTTTCTAAAAATGTAATTATGTATAGATATTCTTCCCATGTATGAATTAATTGCGCATATTTAATGCCATTGTTTTTTCTTCTTTTTTCTAACTGAAAAAATTAAAGAAACTTCATTGATGCCATCCTTATTTAGCATTTTTTTGGCGCATTCACTCAACTAATGATTCAAAATTAGTTCCGTTTTTTCTCTATGTGGGCTTAATTGTATTTTTTTCATCCACCTGTATTAATAATTACGAAAAATACTATAATATTATCGAAATTTATGTTATTATAATTGCCATATGAAATCATTGTATATTTTTGTCTGTGTTTAGGTTCTTCTCTAAAATATTTTTAATTCATCTCTGATAATTGATTGCTTAACTTGAATCCTAGTTAAGACACCCTGTGTTTGTGATTGTTGAAAAGTGGCCACCTCTATATACGCAGTGATTGTTATATGTTATAATGGTTATATATACTTTGGATCAAAAGCCAACCATATTGTGATAAAAATAATATTTTTATTTTTTATCTCAAAAACCAAAAAAAAATTTTTTTCATTTTATGTTTTGTTTAGAAACTTTTGTATTCTGCAATTTTTTCCAACGTTTCTAAATAAAAAAGTTTTATTTACATAAAATTTGTAGGTTTGTTTTGCCTTAAGCGTTTTTCTTATGCGTGGTGTTTTTATGTCATTTTTTGTGTCTTTAAAGACGGTATTTGTTCATAGTTTGCTCAGAAATAGATCAACTAGTTTATAAGTGTTGGTACAAAAAATACAACTGATTGACAGCTAGAACTAAATCATTTTTCTAATTTTTTTTTCGACATGCAAGTTTTAGGAAAAAATTGCAGGTTACAGAAAAGTTTATACTAAACCAATCTATTAAAATATACGTTTTTCCATGTTATTCTTATTTCTTCTTTAAATTTAGTTAATACGAAAGGTAGGAGTAGTCTAATTCGATAATTAATATTAATTAATATTAATTAAGTAATTAATTAATTAATTAATAAACAAACCTATTTCCTATATTTTGAAAAGGGGTTTTCAAATAGAGAATTTTTTAGATACATGTCTCTTAATTAAATCTGTGACATCTCATCTGCCTCTTTCGGATCGTTAGTTGTCATTAGTGTCCTTATAGGTCGGACGCTGGTTCACCACGCTGTGAAGCGGTTCATGATTATCCTGCCCGCCATTTTTTTCAAGCTAGGCATCGCTTTTACATTGCTGGTGTTGGTAGCCGTGGTCGCTGTTAACAACGGTAAGTCACTTCCGCCCAAGGGATATTTAGATCGGTAAAAATTTTCCAAAGAATCATTCAGTTACAGTTTAACACGTTAACACACTTATCGCCCAAAAAGGAAAGTAAAAGAAAGTCATCGAAGCGATTGCTTCTGAATAGTAACATTTGGTCCGCCTCTGCGTATGTGCATACATTAACGCGATACGTATCTGTTTTCAAAGTTTTTAGAAAGGAAACGCTTTAAAATAAAGAGAGAATCTTTAAACAATGAGTCATTATGGTCAAACCCAGTCTTCTTTTGCGGGCCCAAAGGCGATTGCGATTATTATTTTGCGTAGTGTTGTGTTAGTCAGTGACCATATCTAAAATCGTTTAAAAAGCAGTAGCATAATAATCCTATAACATAATACTAAGAATACTCAAAAGTGTAAACTAGAAAAAGTGTTTAATGTTATAATACAAAAAATTAAAAACTAATTGTCCCATATTTATTTTATTAGGTTAAACTGGTGATTATATGGTGGTAGAGTTCTCCGAACGATATACCGTTTTTACGACGGTATTTAACTTTGGTAAATTTTTATGCGGGCCTCCATCTCTTGGGTTTCTCTTCGTAACCCTCAATAAATAAATTTACAATTCCACAATAATGCTCAGATTCTTGTATTATTATTAGTCAATGCAGTGAAAAATCCATACTTTAAAATGTTTGTTATAAATATAAATGAAGGAGTAAATTTAGCAATAAAACAATGTTAAAATATTTATAAGAAAAAGTTATTCTATATCTTAATAATCACTGGACCCGTTCCCCACATTAATGTTCAATACTGGCACTAGTCGACTTCTGTTAACATTTTCTTCTTCAATCACATGTTTTATACATTTTTTCCAACTAGAAGCGGATATTTCTTCTACTTCAAGTATAATTAATTTTATTGCCTCAGAACTAAATTCCAGCGAGGCGTTGTTTCTTTTTAAACTGGGTTTCAGCTGTCCCCATATCCATTCTATCTGATTAAAATTGCAGTGATATGGCGGAAGACTGGTAACTATGAATCCCTGCTCCATGAAGAACTTCCAAGAACTGGTTTTTTGAGTAGAAATTTTCGAAATAAATATCATCAAAGTTATTTTTTTCATTTTTCTATAGTTTTTTTCTTCCTGCAAACGGTTTGCGATCAAATAAATTAATTAATGTGCATGTCGCATAAGGAATTCAATAGTTTCTGCGATAATAAATATAAATACGAAAATTGTAGGAAAAATAGTTGAGTTAGTTGAGAAAAACAGAAAAGAAAAAGGTTTTTTTTCCTCGACATTTGTGTAATAATGGTACTATCATCATCTAATTATTTTGCTTAAGGTCCATAATCCAATTAATTTTTTTTTAATATTTGAAAGAATTACGCTAAAATTTAACCACTTGGTTACTGCGATGGATGCATTCTTTCTATTGTTCGTTTTACCTGCGCTTAGAATTAAACATTGCGGCTTACCAGAAGACAATTGTTCCATCGACGGTTTTTCAATCCCACGGTCCGCTAACGAAAGAATTTTCACACGTTTTCGCTAAATCTGGGCAACTTTAATAACTGGGTTATAAATACCGGTTTAATAAACGCACGTTCTAGGGTTCATCGGGTTCCTGCTGCTCGTCGTCGGTCTCAGCAGCGTCTTGGCGCGTCTCCAAGAATCGAGGAAGCCGTCCTACCCGACTGCGCCGTATATCAGCCCATTGCCGCCCTATTATCACCATCGCTTTTTGGACCGAAGCGACAACGCGGCTACCGACAAGTCCGTACCGGACGCGGGTACTTACGCTCAGTACTCACCCGTCCAGTACTACAGCAAAGTACCAGCGGGTACTTACGCCCAGGGGTACTACGCCCAAAACGTCTCTTGATTTAGTTATTTATTTTATTTATTAAAAAAACAATCTTATTTATTTAACAACTGATACTATTTTACATTCGGTGTTTTTCGCCGCCCTTTTCCGCCTCTTCCTGTTGACGTAAGCGCCATATTCCTCGTGACCTTGGTACCCGTAGTGCTCGTGAGCGACGTCGTTCATGACGTTGACGTTGTGACTGAACACGCCCCCGCCCGTGCCCCTGTTGCGCAGGAAGTTGAGCAGCAGCAGGACGATCGCCACTTTGCCGATCAGCGCGCTCTTCATCAGCAGAAATTTGAGCGACATCAGCATGAACGGGATCAGCGCGGACGATATCAGGAACGGGATGACCATCATCGGCATCATCTTCTCCATAAGGCCTTTTTTCTCTTTCTTGTGGCCGCCCTTTTTGCCACCGCCGTTTTCTGGAATTCGATGATCGTTCGATCATTTTTTTGTAAACTGAACTGAAAGTTGCAGCCGCAAAAAGCAGGTTTTTCAGTTTAAAGTTTCTTTCAAAATCTTGTCGATAGTTATAATTAAAAATTTTGTGGCTGTATTGTCAAATTATTTGTGAATTTTTGTGGCTGTTGCTAAAGAATAGTCATTATTATCCTTTTTTTTTTTTCGAAAATAAACTGAAAAATATTTTTTCTAAAAGGAAATGGAAAACTTTCTACGAATTTCGTATCGCCCTTTTGGTCTCCGAATAAGATCAAAACTTGTCTTTTCCAGCGTCGAGGTTTGTCGTCATGAAAAATAGTATACGAGGTATACGATTATTTTTAGGTGCCTCATCTTTTCATTTTTTGTCCTAGCTATGATATACAGGGGGTTTCATAATTGAATATAAAGGATTTAAGGTCGGTCAAAAACGAAATTTTCTTTGGGCTTTAGAAGAAAAAAACTAGATTTTTTTTTCCGTGATACTGTCAAATTAGTGTACCTTTGTGACCCTTAAAAAAATAAAAATATACCTTTTTTTAACTGTAAACATCAAATTCGCAAATTTTTTCACGACTTTCAAGGGAATATGGTCCCTTTTGGTCTCCGAGTAAGAATGAAACCTCTCTTTTTAAGCGTTGTGATTTGTCATTGTCATGAGAAATAGTTTTAAGATCTTTATATACAATTCCTGAATGCGTCATTATTTTATTTTAAAAAAATCACTATGACAGAGTGTTTTAAAATTAAATGCAAAAATGTTAAGAGCATGAGTCAAGAATATAATACATAATTCAAAAATGAGAGTTTTACAATCTCTGTATAAGATGTGGTCTCGAAATACGAGCTTATAATGCATAATGATTATTTCTAACCTCATTGTTTGATTTTTTGTCATGTTTTAATATAACTATGATATACAGGGGGTTCATAACTGAATCCAAAGGACGCACTGTAATTAAAAAAAAATCTGGTGAATTGTTTGAACAACTTGTCAATCGTAACATAATTTCAGCGTTTTTCTTGATATTGTGAAATTACTTTTGTATTTTTATGATCTTTGCTAAAAAAACTTAAAAATAAGCCACAGTCTTTTTTTTTAATAGAAACGTAAAATTCGTTAACTTTCTCATCGTCGTTTAATTTTTTTACATTTTTGAAATATAGTAATTTTATTTTTTGATTTTTCTTTAAAAAAAACTCCGGAATTGTTTGAACAACTTGTCAATCAATTTTAGTTTCTTTTTTTGCATTTTTGTGGATTAAATAAATTGACAAATAAGCCACTTTTAAATAGAAACATCACATTCGCCAAACTTCTATGACTTTCATGGTCCTCTTCGTCTGCGAGTAAGAATAAAACCTCTTTTAATTAGCGTCGAGGTTTTTTATGGAAAATGGTTTTAAAAAATGTTAACAATAAAATGGGACATTTGTGATTTTTCCCCCTTAAGACTTTAATTAAAAAATTTTAGGAGGTTTTAAGGTTTTTTCAGTGGTATTGTCAAATTATTTGTGCATTTCCATAACTGTTGCTAAAAAATAATTATTATTACCAAAAAGCCATAAAGCCAAAAATATTTTTTCGTTTATAGAAGAAACAAAGTTGCAAAATATCTACTATTTTCAAAGAAACATGGTGCTTATAGTCTTCGAATATGAATAAAACCTCTATAGTGTGAAAACCTTTGTATACGAGGTGGCCTCGAATTAGCAGCGGTCAAAACTAACCAAAATTTGAATATGTGCCTTATAATTTCATTTTTGATTTTGATATTCAAATATTTCAATGGTATATTTATCAGTCAGGTTTTAAGGCCACATTTATCCGCAAAAAATAAGTCATATAAGCATTTAGAAAAATATTTTATGTAATTAAGATTAGAAATTAATAATAAATAATTAAAGAGGGTGATTTAATTGATGTTTATAGGAAAAATTCAATCGAAAATGAAATTCTTTTGGCTTTTTTCTTTTTTATATCAAGCTACGTCAAAAAAAAAATGAAAATCGCTATTTGACAATTTATTTCATTACAGAGCGGGTTACTTTCAAAAATTTACAAAAACGCGAAAATTATTTTCAAAGTTTTCTAGTACTTAATTAATGAAAAATCGAATTTTCGGAACGTCCGGGTACATTCACGGCAACTGTTTTTAATTTTTATCTTCAAGACGAAGCTAGATCCAAAGAAAACGGAAGGAACAGAAATATAAAAAACATATAATCTAGCGGACCACTATTTTACCAATAAAATCTATTAAATCATTCCCTGGGATGCCCCTGAAACGAATAATTTCATTTTACACAAAGTAAAGACCATTATTGCACCACAAATAGGGGTGCCAAATTTGTCCAAATCGAGTAATTAAAAGTAAGTAATTTTTGTATAAACCTTCGCATCCTTAGTTAGGACACGTGTTTATTTGGAAAACCGGAATTCTAAAACATCCAGTATTATAATTTATTAACTTAAACACACGCACCTTCGAGCATAAACTTTGCTTCATCCATTTCTTCCACATCATCCGCTTTTATTTCGTTAATATTTACGTCTAATTCGTCTCTTTCGACGCCGGTATCGGCAGGGGCGTCCTGGCGGGCCGCGTCGCATAGGCACGTGCTCGCAAAAACGTTCATCACCAAAATTATCACCCAAACAATGTCGCGTGTCGTCATCACTAACCGCCAACCGTCGCGTGCTCACGAGCACATTTTTTTGTATCAATTCTCTCTTTTCGCAGCTTTTACCGAGTTCGTAACTCGACGGACTTTGCCAGTTCGCCGTTCTAAATTCTATCGGAGCCTGTTTGGGATTCTGTTAAGTAAAAGTAGAAGTGGGGTAGGGGGGAACCCGACCGATGTAAACAACGGAAGAAGAAGTAATAAAAAACCACTTTTCAATACTCTTCGAAGTTTTGAGCTGATGATTCTAACGAAAAAATGCACACACGCGCGGATTAACAGTTACGAAAAAACGGGAAAGGGGGCCTCAGTTGTTATTCTAATTGAATAGTATTAAGACGAACAAGTTCGCTACAGTCGCGAGCTAATGGTTAGGTATAAATAAAAGTAATGCCGGGTTTGATGCCCATAGGAGCGTGACTTTGCGATATTTATCGGCTATGCAGATCAAAAAAATAGAGTAACGGTATACACCTTTTGGATAGACGTGCTCGTACGGGGCCTACATTGTTTTTTTTTTGCTAGACACGGGGATACAGTCAAAAACCTACATAAGTATTGTATGTATACGTAGGTCATAAGCTACAAGCACTTTTTACCGGAAAATTGGAAGAACAAGAGAATACAAACATTTTTTTTCTTTTCAAATCTGTCACTTTTTTGGAAAATTCAGCACAATATTTTGAGAATCTGTTAGAAAACAAAACCTCAACAACGTCGGTAGAATCGATTAGGAATAGGTATATCAACGTGTGTAAGAAAAGTTTTACATTGACACAAAACATCACATTCATTTATTTTGGTTAGATATCATTTTTAAGTCCCATCCATTCCAATTTAATATGCACTACTGTATTATATGGCGCAATATCTTGTTGAACAACAATCCCTTCATTAATATGCTTCCGCACATTATGAATTAATGGGAACATATAATTCTCCAACAAATTTAAATATCATAAAAGTCATAATATACTGGGACTATTATTCGATCACTTCTCCGACCCTGTCTCTGAATTTCTTTTACACGATTTACATTTGAGATACACCAGTAATGAGTATTTTATACCGACCGTTTTGAGTATTTTCTCGTCGGGTAAATAGAATTTTTGTAAAAGTGTCACTTTCAAAATACTGTTATTTACAAAACTTACAACTTTACAACTGTTGATATTTTTCATATTCATCAAACGATTTTTTAAAATGTCAGTTAATTAGATTTGACAGAACATATGTATTTTTCCTGTCATCCGTCAATTTGTCAGACAAATATAAATGTAAACGTAAATATGACTCGAGTGAGGGGCTACATCGTCGCGTCGCTTCGTAAGAACGAAGAAAATGAGACAGAAACAAGAAAAATTATACACCCAATCGGTCAGCCGATAACCGGTAAGTGTTCGCTCCAGATTCCACGAGACTGCACTTTGCGTGCTGCATTTGCCATGTAGAATGCCGTCGATGGTGCACGGCTTAAGCGTGCTGCTAGTTAGCGTTTGTGTGTTCTGTGACCATGCGGCGCCGACAGACAAGAACCAGCAGCCATTTCAGTCTACCGGTCTCGTAGGTAAAGTACGTTCGTAAGTTTTCGCTCTCCACGTGTAATATTTTTTTAAAATTCGGATTATTTCACACAAAACTATTGTCCAGTACATGTCCATACAGCTATTGTATAAATAACTATACAAAATGTCATATAATAATAATAATGGATGATTTTATTGGTGAAAATAAATAAATAATTACAAAATAAAATAGAGAAATGCAGAAAAGTATACTGAATACTTTTTTCTATATTATTATTTTTTAATTTAGTTAGGAAGCAGTTGATATTTTCGACTAGATTTAACATTTTTTTTATAACATCTGCGCCACATAAAGAAAACATAGCACATTCTTGACAAGATTGGTTTCCGTCAGTGTTTGCGGAATAATTATAAAGCAATAAGTATTAAATAATAAAATTTAAACTATTGTATTGTATTGTAAACTCACCAGAATTTAATGACATAAGACCTAAGCCCACTTATAAGAAAATAGCAACATCATAAATTGAAATGTGTAAATCTGGACAAAAATATCTTGTCCATGAAAAAATGGAATATTCTTTCAGATCAGTCGCAAAATTTAGAGGTTAACATTCTTATGGGTAAAATTTTCGTCTTTCTGACACTTCCTGGTATACCATTCGCAAAATATTCTTCTCTTTTCTTCTTCACCTTCAAGTCTGAGAGCTTGGCAAATTTTAAATTTGAAATTGTAAATATTTTGTGTTCTCAAAATAAAATCAGCAGTACATTTCGCGATTTCAGTTGTGGGTTCTATTTTCCTAACATGTTATTTCACCAATGCGTCAATAAAATCCTTTACTTGCCACCAAAACGTTAAAAATTTAATATTGCTAGACTGTAACGTAAAATTGTGTTTTTATAGAAGCCCGGAGGAAAACAAGTGTGGCGTTCGGGTTCGATCTTGCTGGGCTGGCGTCTAGAATACTGCCCATGCTAGCCTCTCCGTTCATCATGCAGATCACCTCGTTGCCGATGACGCTCATGACCATGAAGTTGTCGCTAATGACGGCCAACTTTTTGGGAATGTTGGCAATCGTGTTCCTCGCGGTGAACTTGGCCAGGAGCAAGATTGCGGACAAGAAGGGCCAGTTTTACAGTCACAACGTCAATTTGCACTGATCCGCAGCGTTGTGACTTATTTCGAAAATGGCAGGGACCAGGAGTAACCAAGACGTCGCAGCCGAATACCGCGGGTTTCAGAGAGACGCGAACAAAATTTGCTGAAAAATTAAATACAGTGTATATGAAATAAATAAAGGATTCATTTGCAGATATACAACGTACGATGGAGTCCAGTTCATTATCTCATTGCTTTCATATATTATGAAAAAATGGTAAATTTAAAATTATTTTAACGTATACATGGTGATTAAAAAAAGTGCGACGAGTAGAACACGTATTTTTCAAATTTTTGATATTGGCGTTATTCGAAGATATATTAAAATGAAAATTCCCGATTTTCTCAAATGGTACACCATATACGAGGTGTGTTTAAAAAGTAAAATGACTTTTCAGTTTTATCACAACGTGTTTATTTATTTATCAAAATTAATATCGCTCCCTTCACAGTAATCATAAAGTTAGATAGAAGCAACGATGAGTGAGCATGTTTTCCCGGGCTTTTTCTTCGCATTGGTTCTCACGAACGGCGCATAAGAAGCCAACAGGATGATTGGCAAAATGTCAGCGAGTTCGATCCATCATCAACCGCTGAGATTTATTTTGGCCCATAAACTCTCTACTTAAAAAAAATGTTTACAATTAAGACTCTTTCCATTTTATTCCCTGTCCAAACTGTACATTTACAATTAATCAATAGAATTTGACAGAAAAATACATTGATTTCTATTAAATTTAAAAAAAAAATCCTTAATATTTTAACAAACATGACATAAATACTCCGCGTCAAATTTAAATTTTTAGATCCGCGTGACGTCATGCGCGCATCCTCCTTTTTATTTACCATTTCATCATAACTCTTGAAACCAATGAAGTAGTAAACTTTAACTCTATCACCCTGTACCCTGTACATTGTATGATGTCATTATTCATTCTTATTTCTTTCACTTTCATTATGTAATCAAAGTAATCATATTGGCGACCTACTGGTCATATACGAGGTGTGTTCAAAAAGTAAGTTGACTTTTAAGTTTTATCAAAAAGTATTGATTTATTTATCAAAATTGACCGTACGACCTTGACATTTGATTGAACTTGTCTTTCTTCGGTCTTGGCGATTCTGGGTTCTTCCAGTGGGACGACTGGGCTTTGGTTTCGACGTCATAACATATCGGGATCATCAATAACGTTAACAGCTCTTGAACAATGCGGCGGTCCTTTTGTACAAAATTAAGCAGTTTCGGAACAAATTTTGCTGATATACGTTTTGTGGACAAAACTTCGGAAACAAATTGTATGGTATGGGTCACTAGAGATGCCGTCCGCCACTTCTGTAATAGTGATTGGACGATTTTTTCAGCTGCATTTGATTCACATCTTCGACGCTGTCATCAGTTATTGACATGCTGGGACGCCCGGAAGAGGGTTCGTCATCCGGCGTTTTCTCGGCCATCTTGAAACAGCTTGTACAACTTATAAAGCTGTTTCTTTGCTCTAAGTAGATTCACCATATGCCGTTGTCAACAATACAAGTGTTTTCCAGCACTGTATTCCATTTTTTACACAAAATTTTAAGAAAAATTCTTTGTTACTTTTTTTTGACAGCGAACGCGCCCAATTACATAAGTCTCCTTACTTTTTGAACGCACCTCGTATATATGATTTTATTCACGTTAAATCTCTTGTTCCTCAGGGTGGATATTGCTCGCCTTTCTTATTCAATATTTTGGTTAGTTGTTACAAGTTTTATCAATAGCAGAAAATAATTGAGAACGCTCAATGTGTTGTACTATTAGGTCTCCATGCAAAGCTATATATTAATCCACTCCGGATAACAATTTTCTCACTCTCTATACCGAAAGAAAAAAGGACCCATCAGGTAACAAAATAAGGAATGTGGGTCGACTTGTAATTAATAGAGTCTCTCACCTTTCTTTCCAAAGAACATATAACAGTGTTAGTAGCTGCCAATATGAGTAGGAGTGAAAAAAAAGCTAGTCAATCCACCCACGATGTTTTAAGAACAAGGCAAACAAGTCTGCATGGGATGCAGATGCAGAATTAAAGGGGAGGAAAATATTACTTCTCTTAGTTAACTGCCCTTCACATCTCCATAATCCAAATCTACGGAATATAGAAATGAAATTTTTTTCATCCAAAACAACGAGTGTATTACAGCCGATGGACCAGAGCGTAATAAAAAGTCTTAAGAGTCGATACAGGAAAAACATTTTTATGGAAATGATCGAGGCCGAAGACAAATTTTCCATTAATATGCTAGATGTAGTCAGCTTTATTAGTAAAGCTTAAAAAGAGGAGACAGAATGCGAACAAGACTTGGAAGATGATCAGCCACTAAGCGAGTGAATAAAGCAATTTCAAGCAGCAATTACGTTTACAAGTGAGGAGTTGCAAGATTTTTTGGTGATAGGTCAGGATTTGCCTACAACAACAAAGGAAGCCATATTACAATAAGCAAGGAAGGGTGAGGAAGAGCACCGAGAGGAAGAAGAAGATGAAGAAGTTGATCTGGGACCACCACCAACCATTCAACAAGCCAACACTTAAGCTGCTAGAGAAATTTTTTATGTATCATGAGGAAGATACCCTTCTCGAAGAAATGATGAAAATACAAGCCAAAGTACGAGATGCGTATTGGCATACTAAAAAAATTCAAACGAAAATAACCGATTATTTGATGCATTAAATGTAGTTCTTAAATATTTTTATAAAATGTTCCTAAGTAGATGTTAAAATATGTATATAAAATAATTAAATATTACAGAACACATATGCGTATTGTTATTTTTCAAGTGCCTATATCGAAAACAATTTATATCGAAAAAAAAAGCAGTCCATTCAATTTTCGACGGTACTTTTAAAGTTAAATATCACAGAACAATATATATGGTGCAAACAATCCTTTGGACGTCACTGATTAATGACAATGACATAGTATCTTAGTAGCCATGACATAGTACCTTAGTAGCTTGTAATCTTAGTAGGTAAGAGCTATGATTAGTTAATTTTTTCATTTTAAAAAAATTTTGATTATCGGGTTTGAAAAGTGGGAAAGGATTTTTTTTTGTCTAATTACTTTATTTTTACTATTATTAAGCCTGTACTAATGCGGTATTTGTAACCTTGTATAGATAAAGGGGATATCCCATAAATAAATCAACAAGTTTTTTGTAAATAGATATTTAGGGATGTCAACAATACAAGAAAAGTTTAACTTTGCTTTAACAAAATTATAACAGCCTGGAACAATACCTTTTTTGACAGTGATTAGTTAGTGCTTTGATAAGGCTACTGTTTTATATTGCATAAGTTTTTATTTCATCATTATCCTTTTTTTAAGAGGCGGTAACAGAGGAGAGTAATGTTAGGATAGAAAAGAACGGTTTCGGACTTTTTATTACTGAAACAGCCTATCAAAATGAAACAGCGATGTAAGAAAAATATCGTATATTCTTAATTTAAAATATGTACACCTAATAAATATTTATACAGCATTGCCTAAACCGATATCACAATAATTAAGTCAATTAGCGCTGCGGCGGTCGCGGAACCATTTTGGATACGTCCCACATATTTTTTTCTTTTATTTTTACGCCCGGTTTGAGCGGAATTCATTGCGAGCCAATTAACCTCGTTTCTTCAAGTAACAAAATACTTTAAAACGTTGCCCCGCTAGGGGCACGTTAAGCAGAGTCGATAACAACTCGGCGACCCTTAAAAATTTAGATGTGCGAAATTTAGGTTATGTTTTGGTCCCAGTGTATTTCGTATGTTGTTTATCTTCTTCGTCTCTACAGCTTTTCTAAATTAGGCAAATTAAACTTTGACGCGATATGACTTAAATGTCTATTTCCTACCTTAATCGATCACTCACAACTGGGAAATTAGTAGGGAATGTTTGGTGTGTATATGTTTAATACTAGTTTTCACACTGACGACCGACTCGTGAAGTAATTTATGAACTTCTTCAAGAACTTCTTAACCAAAGAAGCTTGGTCAATTCATTTGACGTTCACAAATGTCATTTAACAGGCCAACCAACTCGTAGCATTTAGAGGTTATGTTTATTCGCAATACTCCTTTTTTGTCCTTATCAACGCTGGCTAATAATTTTTTGCTAACATCGCAAGAGGCCAAAAGAAAGTTTTGATAAAATACTGAGCCGTGTGAAAGCCCATTTTTCGAGATACGATAAGTACAGAAAATAAACCTTATAGTAATTCCACCATTTCCAAGCACAGGTGTAAAATTTGTCCCAAAGTATATCGTCTTGACTTTTGATGTACGCTCTCCCGCATTCATAGGTAAGGGACAAAATGAAAGCAATACAAATATTAGCTGTGCGACACTCCATAACATAACTTTTTTAGATTAAATTACATTAAGGCAATTAAAAAACATAACATATGTGTGTGATAGTTTAGCAAAACAGATAGGTCATACTGTATTACGTCCTTCTCTATAACATATAATATAATAACAATAATAATAAAAATGTAATCAATAATATACCTGTTGAGAGCTTAAAAAAAGCAGCAGTTCTGAGAGTGAAACAGAATTAGATTTTGAATAAGAACGTGTTGTATGTCATTCTGATTAGGTTTTAACAAAATATTAAAGTTTTCAATAGAAAAAAATTATCTTTAAACCCAAAATGAGTGTGTCAGTTTTTATAAATTTAGTGGTCGATCGTATTTTCTATTAGCACATTTTATTATACATAAATAAATATAATATAATAGTTAACCTTTGTTTTTAACACAGTGCCCTTAAAAGTCAATACGTTATACTTTGCGATATACCATGCAGCTTTCAAATATCAACCTTATATACCCTTATTCGTACCCAAAACTTGAGAAATACTAGGAAAGTTAACAAAATTAGTTTTTGCTCGTTTTTGTGATGCCATATATAATTGTTTTTTTAGTTTTATTGCATGTTCTGTTAGTGTATACTAATAACATAACCTTGCTTTTCGATTGATTTCTACATTTGGCATTACTGGATTCTACGGGTGACGTGTGAATTTGTTTGATGAGTATTTGTTACCACACTTGTGCGTCAACCAACTCCATGAATAAATTGTCAGCGTTAAACTATTATAAAGGCTTTACCAATTTTGCTTCGAGTATTTTAACACCTTGGGAACCAACCGTTACATCATACTCTCCTAATCGCAGTAAAATTCATCGACATTCTCCGTACAGATGTCGCACTTAACGGCACAACACCATTCGAATTTGCAATTACAACGGGTCGTCGCCAAGCGTTTTTGTTTCTTGACTTTGTGGCCGCATTGCCTGCACAGATTCCTGCAGCTCTTCCGTTCGGCCACCGTGGCCAGTTCTGATCTGGACCTCGAACACGAGCGTCCCTTCGTTCCGGGCCAGTCTGCGAGAAAAAATAAAGAAGAAACAAAGTCCGAAACAAATGTAAAAACGGCTGAATTAGGTGTATAATGGGTTGCATAGACTAAATCTTAAATGACAGAAGAAGAAGAAAAACAGAGGGAGTCTTTTTTACTTAGTGGGTTCTGGAATCATAATTTATCATCGAGGAGTTAGGGATTATGCATATTTTCGTTATGGTTAGCTTTAATAAAAGTGTAACTACAAATCGTTTTATTAGTACGTATTGAATATTGTGTGTTTAGAGATATTCATAAATTTATTCGTAAATATGGTTCAAGAAAAATTTACTAATTCTTCCTAATATTTAGTTTTACTAAACTAGGGTACAATTTCTTCAAAAATTACAGATTTTTTGGTCAAATTTTTTGCAAAACAGGAGTGCAAAGAAACTAACGTAACCTCAAAGCTCATATTACGCGCATGTGCCAGCAATTTGCTACATTATCCTCAAGCTACCCTACCTACCCAGTTGACTAATTGTTAAGAACTAATGAAGAGACAACTATCATACTTCGGCCATGTTATGCGAAACCAGAAATATAGCCTACTCCAGCTTATTATGCAGGGCAAGCTTAACGGCAAGAGAGGTCCTGGAAGACGAAGAATATCGTGGCTGCGAAATCTAAGACAATGGACGGGAATGACATCTATGGATCTATTTCGGGCTGCAGCAAATAAAATCAGATGGGCCATAGTAATCGCCAACGTCCACTGAGGATAAGGCACAGGAAGAAGAAGAAGAAGAATGAAGAGACACCAGTGGTTTGAAACTAGGTTCAAACTCTAAGCGTGCCAAGGTATCTGGGCCAAATGACAATGATGATGTGACAATAAGGTGAGGAAACGTTACACAACCACAAGATAATTTTTGGAAAGACATAATTATAAGACCTAACATCACAGCAAAGAATATCTAAAGGTTAGTTCTGGTTGACAGCAATCGCAGAAAAAAAAATTTTTCGACGTGTCAGCTTTACAAATAAAATTATTAGTATGAATGAATATTTGCAAATAAAAATAGAAACACTATGCAATGCTAATTACAAATTTTTATTGTATGTAAGCAATTTTTTTTAATATGTATAAATTTCGCAGTTTAATAATTTTTTAAAAGTTTTTTTTATAAAGGATTGAGTTTTGGGTAGTTTTGGTTAGCTTCCGTTAGTTTTCGTTAGACCGTCATTTTAATTTACAATATTTTGTCAGGTACCGCGAAATTTTAATTTCTATTTCCTTCCCATCGTGTAATTTATTGTTAATATGTCAACGCACACACACAATAATCCGATTTTTTTTTTATTTTAAAGGTACTGTTTCCAGTGGTGTACAAATTTGCTCACACACCCACCCCTTCACAGCGGGAAAACTTTAAAATACCTAATTAGCTATAAGTTTTCTCTACACTCTCTGTAGAAATTTTTATCCTAAACACTTTGCAAAACAATTGCAAAACAAATATTAAATTTAAGCTATGAATATATATATTCTTTAATAGTTAACTTCTTGTATGCATATGAAGGCTATTGAGACCAAACCAAACCAACTAAATTTAAATTAAAAGCGAATAAATTAAATTAATTAAATCGCTTTCTTGCGTTCTAATTTATCGCGTCTGCTGCTGTCATCGAGAGCCGAAACGAACATCTCCGAACTTAGCCGAATCGATATTGAAGGAAGCGTATTTATTTTAATCAATCATTTTTCTTAAAGGGAGCTTACTTTTTGCTTCGTTTTCCACGCAATAATCCGGAGATTGATCCAGATACACTAATCGGTTTCCCGGAAGTTGAATACTCCGCCTGCGCTCAGCGTGCTGTATGCTATTGCCGATTCTGACGTACGCCTGTGCAGTGTCCTTGGAAAGCCGCAGAGCTTTGCCGTACTTCTCGCGCAGCTTTCTAGCTAGCTGCTCGAACGGCGCCGTCTGCAACCAGCAAGTCTGAAGTGAACAGCTGCCCGACATCCCGTGGCAGCGACATCTTCTCACCATCGTTTCACGCACCATCTGTAACGAAGAGTACAGTCTCATACAGTCAAAAACGACGCTGACAAGTTTACCTCTATCCCGACCCTGAAATTATGAGCTTCGACTAACGAAGTGCCGTCAGCGTCGTTTCTTGACTTCTCGAGGAGGTCCGAAGTTACCATCTCGGCGTACCCGGTGGTGTCGGAACACCCACCCCAAGACCAGTCGGCGACTGTGCCGGGCGGATGATTTTTCCCGTCCAAATCGGCCTCGTACGGCCCTGGGTGATCCGGAGGCTTGGACGCGCAGCCGCACTCGTCGATTTCTCCCCTGGAGCAGTTTCTGGTGATCGCGTGGACTATACCGGCGGCAAGGATAGCATTGCTGAAAGCTGCCTCGCGATCTGTTCTATTCGCGGCGCGTCTTGATGATAATAACGACAATGACAGTTAAAATAAAAAATTACTTTCCTCAAAAAAATTAAGATTTTGAGGCAAAATTTTTTATAAAACTTTTTACTTGTGGTGCGTTAACTCGTATATAAAGTTTCGGATGTTAGATTACATTGTATATGTATTACATATACAATGAAATAAATATAAAGAATAACCCGAATATTCTTTATATTTATTTGTATATGTAATACAACATCCGAAACTTTATATACGAGTTAACGTTAAGTTACAGTTAATTTGAAATGCGATTTGAAATGTCATATTTCTTGTTGTTGATACTACTCAGAAATAGCATTTACTACTTGTATTCTTCAAAATTGCGGACATATTGAAAAACGTAATTTAATTAATGTTGCTTGTAAGTAATGTGCATTAGTAGCTAGTGTTAATTTTTGGTAATTATTTCGCGTAGACATTTAAACGTAGTAAGTAAGTAATTTGCGAAATTTGGCAACATTGTGCAAAGCTTAATATTCTATTTTTAATATGACTTCTTAACAATGCTCTAAAACGGTCGTGAACAAGTTGATAAGCAGCTAATTCCCAATTTGACATATTAATAATTTGAATCTTATACACAGATTTTCATTTTATTTGCAAATTAAAACTGTAAGTCAGAGACCCATACCCATAATTGCTATTAAGGTGGCTATTCAAAAATCCAATAATATACAGGTTAAGAAAATTACGAAAATATTTTAAATATTGCCTAAAGAGAAGAATTATTTTCGTAATTTTAATAGAAACAAGAAAGGTTTCGAGATACCCTGTTCAATGTCCCGAGATTGTGATATCGGCACCTTTATTCCGTCGGCCGGACGGACGGAGGACTAAACGAAAAACGGCGCGTTAAGTAGAGGGACCGCTGCGCAGTTAAAAAAAAAATCGAAAAATGGCTTACCTCGCAAACTCTTCCTTCGGGCAGTTCCAGCGGTCCCATCGGAAAACGCCCCGACAGTGTTCCAGCGCGAGCAGCGTGCCCCCTGACACGCTCTCCATTAGTTTCGGGTTGATCCCGCCCTTGAGGAACGTCGAGTTTTATCTTAATATTTGCCGGCATCGCTGGCGCAAAGTTACCTTCCTGTTTATACTTACGGGTGTCGCAAATTCGAAAAAACTACCCCCCGGGACGAAGCACCAAAACACCAACGCGTACATTCGGGCGGGAACGATCATCTCGACGCTGTCTCGTCGGTGAATAGTGTTTGAATGAAGCTCTATCGCGACAATAACGTTTATTGTGTTATTTGGGGGCGAAATAACGTTGTTGTTAAATAGTCATTATCGGACAATAAAAGGGGGGTGAAATAATATACCACCCGTGGCTTCTAGGTAGTGTCTTGTGGATTCAGGCAAAACCCGCACCTTTATATTTTTTTATTGTCTATACCGCTCGGGTGTATGGTGACGGCACCATCGCCAAAATGGTCATTAAAAAATACTGATCGTGAACTGCGGCGAGTGTAATCGCCGCCTCCTGGCAGATCTGAGAATGCGATTTATTTTTAGGCGACCCTACTAGAAACTTGCAAATCGATAGGAGTTTTTTTTTAAGTACAGCGAGACGCCACTGACTTACTTTTTTGTGGTTATTAGATAACAGTTTTCCCGCCTTTTGTATACGATCGGGATATCTAGGCAACACACTTTACATACTTTACATTTAACAGCAACTTATATAGGTTCCCTTAATAGAAAAACATTTTCATTGCTGTTGGATATAATATTAGGAGTCACAGACAACACTTTTCAAGTGACCCCTCAGAACGAAGTCTTTCTTAAAACTTAAAAAAATAAATAAATCGAAACAATGTTCAATGATTCATTTTACACTATTATACAATCAAATTTTCATTTGATGTTTGTTATATGTCATTTTCTTAAAGAGTAATACAATTTTGGAGTAAATAAAAATCAAATAAAAGATGGTAAATCATAACATTTACAAACAATACCACTTATACTTTTACAGGTATTGTTGTGATGAATTTGTGATTATCGACCAATGTCACCACATACTAAAGTCATTAGCTGTTAGCTGGGGATATTATATCTCTTATCTCTCATATAATTTGTGTCTCCTAAACATTTAAGTGAATATAAAATGGCTGTCCCATAAGTACATGGCAAAATGAGAGGACTCTAGGTAAAAATGTTACGATTTAACGAATCTTACCTTGGTAAAAAAAAACACAATTTTGTAAATTGCATGGTATTTTTCGTGTATTTGATACGTTCTAACTTGTTTAGGCCTTTGTGTACATCATTACGTAATATTTGTATGACATCAATTTAAAAATAACCTAAATACAACTAAATACAGACCATAGGAGCGTTTTTAACACAACAAGAGACTTAAAAAAACTTCAAAGTCAATGGAAACCATTTTAGGGAAATACAAATTTAATTTTAAACCAAAGTAAAATACGGAAACTATTCATAAAAAGAAAGATTTCAATTCGGCCATGAATGTGATGCTTTTAGAGATACGTTTATTGAAAAAACATAGTTTTCAAGTTCTGGGGTAAATTAATGGGACCAAGAGTATTAGAAAAATCGTCAAAAGTTACTTTTTTTCTTTAAAACGGCATCAATGCATCATTAATGCTTTGTAGTATTCCGGCTGAAAATAGTTAAAAATTTTGAGAAAGTCTCTATGATATTCGCTGCCTGGCATTCGAGTACCACCGATACAAACTCCATTTTTGTGGCCATACAAATAGATTTCATTTGGTTTAACCTAAAATGAAAATAAGCTATATAACACAATCTGGGCGCCTCCGGTTTGGAAAAATCTCCAAATAACATCTATGGGCTCGACGCCCATTATAAGTCTCTGGGACGAATAAACATATGATGTCATCAGTTATGTCTTAACATTCTCGGAAAACTAACCAAAACTTTTTAAAAACCCAAAACACTGACAAACCGCAAAGAAATTTACCAGTGCTTTTGTTTTAGTCAAAGCCCAATTTGAGAAATTTTGCACTATTTTACTGTCTCTTATTTTACATGTTCACTTGAAACTCTTCAAATGGGACCAAATTGCATACACTAATGCCCAGAAAAGTTAGTTAGTACGAAAAGTATCATACGCAGCGCCCTCTACAATTCTCATTTCTGGTGTTAAAAAATCTGATTTGTCAAATTTTGTTGCAAAAAGCTCGCCTATTTGAGGAATTATTTTTAAAAATCAAAAAAGGTAATTTTTTTTACTTATGGGGCGCCCTGTATAGTGTTAAATAGTCGCTCGAGGCGGTCCGTTTCTGGGAAACATTAAAAAATCGGGAACTAGTCCCCAGCCGAAGGGTTCTTTCGAATCCGGCTTTCCAACGCAAGTGCCCGTTTGCCATAACGAGGGCAATAATGTTTACAATAGAGTAGCCCGTAAATATTTACAACTTTTATTGAGGCCGTCCGCAGACGTGTCTCGACCATTATTCGCCCCGGCCATTCACAAAAGCTGACGAGAGCTATGAATATTTTACAGTTCGACTCAATAAAATGCAGACTCCGAGGCGCCACTTTTCGTTATTTCCCGGAATTTCACGCCGAGTCGGCTACGCGGCCTTCACCATGGACCAGTTTCGGTGGCGATCAGCTGATTTGTGTTGTCGAATTGGTAAAGTGGAGTATTACAGGTGATCGAGCCTCAAAGTCTCGTGTTTTAGTGGCCCGGGCGCTGAATGTCGGTTAGTTTCGTCAGTTGTGGTTGTTTTACCTCGCGGAGAACGAGGGTGATGAATGTTTTTCCGTCACGTTTATAGAGGTTGGTAGATATTTAACGCGTGGTTGCCAATTTTAATTGGCCGCGTGGTTCGGACGCGAGATTGTTCCGGTATTAGTAACTGATGGCAATTAAGTGGGTCGAATTTGACTACGCGAAAAGCTTCAAAGTTGCTGGTGTTTTATTCGACCCTTAACGGGACGTAAAAGCCGAATTATGCGTCAAACATTGCTCCGCGTCCGGCAACGCCGCCTTAAATTGAAACCACAGATTATAATAGTGCGTTTAGCAGGGTTGCCGCGTGATAAGACAAAACGTTCATGTTTTTTTAGGTTTTCTAGGCAGCGCGTTAAAGTGGCCCCCAACTTTAAGCGTTTTAAATAAAGTGTCTGGTAAGTGGCGTATTTTTTATTGTTAAGGCGGATGCGCCGGGGTAGAGATTTTTAAGTTTTCTGAGGATTCTTCTTCGCACCCAGACATGACGTCCACATTTCCTCGACTTAAATTACGACCCGTAATCTCGGATGATGCGGATTAGGTTTTACGACGAGATATCAATCGAAACGCGGGATGAAGCGCGTAAAAAATCAATTAACGGCGGTAAAATATGCGGAACGTCGTCGTTAGGCCTAAGCAAACGTGTAAATTACGTGATATCCCAAATCCCTTCGCCGATTGTTTATCAAATCCGGCAATAAACGTCTCCGTCGCGCTCAGTTCGCTTTTTGTCCCGACGAAGATGGTTTTCGCGTGGATTCTGGCACACAAATTCCTGACGCTGCTGGCTCTGATCAGCGCCGCGTTTTGCGTCAGCACGATAGTTTTGGGTGTCAGTAATGCCCAGTTGAAGTCGGAAATCGAAGAACTCAAGGAAAATACGTCACCTTCGACGAGTTCTTCGACGAACCCCTCCATCACGAGCAGTTCGGGTACGATATATATGGCGTGTATCGGTTTATGTTAGTAGAATAACGGCCAATTAGCAACGTTTGCAGCATTAAATTAATATTTTTTGTGCACTTTTTGGACAAATGGCTATTTCGGAGATCAAAAATAAGCGTAAGCGACTTTCGATATGGATCTGCATACGTATAGTACCCCTTCTAGCCGTTAGGTGACGCCACAGATTTGCAGTCAAATCCTAAATTTCCGAAACAACTAACCACATATGGCAAACTCTCCATCTATGGTCTTAACCTCATTCTTTTTAAAAGTCCCTTGCAGAAATTATGCGCAAGACCGTTTAATATTGTCCGGAACAGTAGTTTGGGACGTTAATACGAAGAGGGGTGCTATACAGGATGTTGACGAAGTGTGGCAGTTTTTGGGTCCATTTTGAATAGAAAACTTCATGTGACCTTATGTCCTAAACGTACTGATTTCTCTTAAGAAATTTAATTTTTTGCTTTTTATCAATCCGATGGATGGTTTTCGCTTATAAAAATAAAAATGTCTTCTCTGCATGGACATAATAATATCGATAATATGACAGCATGCATGATTATGTCTTACTTAAGTAACTGTCTATCTGTTTTATTAAAATACTTCAAAAAATCGAACTACGAATACGAAGTACGTAAACTTAAATAAATAAAATAGATTTAAATAAGAATAGTTTATTATTTATCTTATTGTTTCATTGAAACTGTAAAAGAAAAAACAAACAATCTTCAATTTTTGTTTTGAAGGACACTAGTTGGTAACTAAAAACTAGATATTTTGTTTTAGATGGACATTTTATTTTAAAAAAAAGTTCTCGATTTAACCAATGCAGTCGCAACCTAATTAACCAAAATATTATTTATTCACAGACAGTCAGTGGTACGCCACTGATTTCCTTAAAAAAATAATGACATTTGCATTCATTTGTGAACAGATTTGATGTCTTAATTATTATTATTATTATTATTATTACATCAAGAAATTGAGTTTCTTTTGAAACGATTGGAGAATGTAAGAATAATTTTTATTTTAAAAGGAATCAGTGGCGTACCCTCAATATCAATATCAAAAACAGTGGTGCACTAAATAATGCCCCTTGTTTCATAATACATCTGTGTCAAATTTCATTGAAATATCTAAAGTGTATTACAGATGTATTTTATTTTTGAAAAATTTACCACCCTGTATTTCAAAAGTAAAGATGTTTAGGACAGATGTTCATATGAAGTTTTCTTTTTAAAATGGACCTAAAAAACCCGCCTCTTGATTGTTGATATGTATAATCCCGATCGAAAATTACTTACAAGTAAGTTTGTTCCTTCGTCACACAACTAAAACTTTTCGGTCGCAGAAAGCATCGTTAATAAGAGCTTGCCCTAGCAGAAGGGGCAGAGCTTTCTCACCAAATCTCAGTTTTAAGAATCAAACCATCTTAAGGAGCAATAGGTTCAAGAGTGTCGTGTGATGTAAGCTTTGAAAACAAAAATTATACACAAAACTGTATCAA